GTCGCAGATTTACTGTCTTCAGAGAGCAGAATGTGTAAAGAAAAACAGTATGAATAAATCCCCGCTCGCCTAATGCCGCTGGGTTCCAGCCTGGTATGCACCGTTGTGCAAGGGTGTCAGATGACATCCTCTCTGCTGGCTGCTGGCCCTCGTGGAATGCTGCTTTGCACATCTCGTAAAGTCAGGATGGGAAGTGCTGCCTGAAACTTTTACATTTTGCCTTTAACTTGTAGCAAAAAAAAAAAAAAAAAAAGGGAAAGAAAATCAAGAGGCAAGAGCATTACAAATAAGAAATGCTCTTTTCATCATAGATTAAATAAAAAAGATTCCATCTTCATCTTTACATTTAGTTTTTACCCTTTCTAAAGGCTGACTCCTGCTTTAGATAATCAAAGCTGGCTTTGAACTAGCTCACACAAAAAATCTTTTTTTCTTTAAAAATAGCCCTATAGATATATATACATATCACAGCCTTTCATTCCTTTTATAGATGGTTTCATTTTCTGTGAGAATGTAAAATGCAGAACTCAATCAGGCACGACAACAAACGCAGGGAATGGAGGCCAGGCACAGTATTGCAATTAACACTGGTGTTTAATTAAAAGACAGCTGCAGTGGGCAAGGGTCTTTTGATTTTCCTCTCCTACTGCTTGTTTGATGGTAGCTTTATGTACAGTTGTAACTGACACTTGTTAGACTAGCATGCACTCACATTGCACATCACACACATGCACACACGCAGATGGCTACGCACAGCCTTCATGGAGCATTTCTGGAAGGAAGCCGGGTTGGACAACCATCAGATTTCTGCTTTCAGTAATTATTTTTGGAAGTAACTCCATCTGATTGTATTTCACAAAAACTCAGTTATGGATATTTTTTGTTTGGAGGGATTTATTATCTAGAGGATGCTTTGGTGCATTTAGGAATCTTTTTTTGTTTTGTTTTTATTTGTAATACCTACAAAAAAAACAAAGTGTGATGGAGATGAATAAGTGCAGAAGTCATGCAGGAAAGGCTGGCAACGCACAGACATTTACCACAGTCAGCTTAGAACCTTCTGTATGTCATTGGTGAAAGTAGTATAGTAGTTTCATGCTGTTCTCTGTTGTTGTGGCAGGAAAATACTCGAATAGGCAACTAATCCTTCCACTTGGCCACCCTCAGTAAAGAAGAAAATGTTGCTGGAGGTCATGGTAACAGAAAGAAATGTTGAGGAGCTGAGTAAATAAGGGAAAAAAAGGCAGGGAAGGTGAGTTCTCTCTGCTAAGGGCCATCACACACCCTTGGACATCTCTAATTTAGGACTACTATGATTTAGTTCCTGCCTGCAGCAAGCTGGAGTGAACTGCAATGAGTTAGAGGAACAAGAGGTATCACTGAGTCTGTTGATAGTAACAGTCCTTATGTGAAAGGACATACAGGAGCACCAGCACTAATCGGCCCAAATCCTTACCTCCATTTTGTTTGATTATAGTAAATGGTTTTTGATTTTCATGCATGCCCCACGCCGCTGCAATTTTCTAATTACCTAGCTTACATCTTTATACACTCGTATAGCTTATGGTTGATCTCTGGCTAGAGCGATACTCCTGTGAAAGCATGTGCTCAGCCTGCCTACGTTTAGATAAGATGTTGGAAAACACACAAATAATTTATTCCAGCTGGTGGTCTTAATTCAGCCTTCTCCAGAATGGGACTTACTTGCAAAACATCAGGCTAGAGGATGAGGATCAGACATCAGTATTTATATAATATAATACTTATCATTGTATTAAATTTCTTCTGATCTTAACAGTATTTATTCCTACAGCATTCCTATGATACAGGGAAGTGCCACTGTTGCAGTTTTACAGACAAGGAATTTTGAAACAGAGATGAGATTTTTTTAGTCAATTATTAAGATGGACACCTGGGAGTTTAAGCACTATAAAATGTGCTTTCCATTTACCTGAGTGCATCTTTAGCTGCCTCAGTACTGCTGAAAGTCTGGCCATGAGTGAGCTGTCTAGCATCTACGACAGAACAGGTATTCAAGCACTTGTCTTCCAAATTCCAGATTAGTGCCTTCTTGCTGGAACACTCTTCTGTGTCCGTCTGAGCCAGATAACATATTTTTCTTCTGCTATGGCCATCTGAATTCCCCATTCACCACAAGCTTTTTGTTAAGTACCTGTGCATGTTACCTTAGGAAAAGGACAGAACTGCGGTAATAATCTTTGCCTTCTTGCCTGAGTAATTGTACTGAGAACAGCATTGCCTTTCTGTGTTTTGTTTTGAGAACAGTGCTAGAATTGTCAGCACTTTCAGTAAAGCCGAAGGTAGTGGAGAAATAGACTTCTTTTTTTATTTCCTTAGTTGTCTTCCTGATGTTAACCAGCAGGATTCATTGCTACCCTGGTGGCCCCACAATGGGGTTAATGTCAAAGACCTGTGCAGACAAACCTCGTTCCTGTAGACTACTCCCCTAAGCAGCATATATTGGTTTTCCATCATATTTGTAAGAATATAATGGTTAAGCAGAGGGTTTCTTATAAGCAAACAAAGTTATGGCACAGCTATGGCAGCCAAAATGAACAAGTTGCTGCTAGCAGGATTTCCTGACTAATATGGATAACTGATACCCACCAGTTTATAATTGCTATTAAAAATGTGCTCTAGGCCCTGTCTATTTCTATTCTTTACCCGTATATTGATTTATCCCAGTGTCATAATTTCCTGTCATGGTTAGGCAGGCTAGGCAGGGAGGGAGTGTGTATTCCATGAGCCTGTTTGGTTCTCTGTTATCACTGGGCATTGTTCACCCCAGGTCTGCTGAGTTTCTTGTAGCTGTGGCAGCAATGGGCTTGAGCCTGACCTTTACCTGGTTTAGCAGAAAGTGCTGTGTCCTTCCACCAAGTGAGTTCTGGGATGGGCAGCGCCTGGGCCCCCAAAACAAGCAGCCTTGGGCCTAAGGGTAAAGCAGCATCAGAACACTCCCTGTTCTCTGACTGCAAAGCAAACATTGTCTGGGCCCATGTTCTCATTTTAGTTTTGTACTTCGGGCATCATTTTAGTCAAAATTTGTCAGTTCTAAGTGGGGCATTTGAGAACTTGCCATTCTTCCAGTTCTATATTACCCTGTGCAGGGCTGTAGCTGCCAAAACCACATGCTCACGTTGGCACGAAACAATTATCCTGGTTTATATAGAACAGGCTTGGCACTGGTCTATCTCAATGATCAGTCACAGTGCTGAAAGATTCAGCCTTTCCCCCTCCAAGCAACAGACTAGATTTCTTTCAGCTGGATTCATGATATTAAATAATTACAGGAGTGGAAAGAAATTATGGAGAGCAAGCTACACAGAATGTACCTGTAAGGTCTGAGAGGGAGCAAGAATGAGATGGAGAAAGAAGGGACTGTTTAAGATACAAGCTAGTAATTTGGTTTCTAAACCCTTGAGAAATTATAAATAATGCCTACTGTTGCCAGTTACTGAACACAGAGGTGTGTGGTTTTTCACTTGCATGCAGAGCTATTGGTTGTGGGTGAAGTAGTTAGACAAAAACATTCAATGGGCTGCTGTGGGTATTCCACCAAAAATAAACCCAAACAAACACTGATGTGTTATACAAGCACTTTTTTTTTTTTTCTGTGTAAACGTTCAGTTGGTATTGCTGGTTTCTCCAGAACTGCTCAAGCCTCTTGTTTAACTTGCCTGAAGTGATGCTGCTTTCTTACAGAAATCAGCGCAGATGCCTCTGAAACATAAGAACCAAACAGGAAGTGGTGTATTTCCATGGAAATCCACTGTGTGCCCTCAACTCACAGGGATGTTTGGCGATGGCTATTGCTTGCCACACTCTTGTGATGCACAAAGCACTGCATACACGTGGGCCAAAGGTACCTAAATGTGAATCAAAGAAATGGTGTCTGGCAGTGATTCACAGAGGTTAGTAGAGGCTTCCTCTTCTTTTGCAGGCAGTTTCACAAAGATTTATTTTAATTCTACTCTGTTACGAGAGCAACTGCTACTTTGTTATCAAAACAGTGACAGATTTTTATTCCAGAAGGCCAGACGCTATCACTACTTGAAATTCTCCACATTGTTTCCACTGTGAGCAAATTCTGTCTTGATGTGAGTCACATATGCTTAAAAGTTAATAGCAGTTGCTTTTACTTTATATCAGCATTAAATTTCATGTACAATCTCCAATTTTAAAAATGAAGTTAAATCCCAGGATTTTGATAGTTGTTTGGAAGTGACTTTAAATCCAGAAGTGTCTAATAGGAAATCCTGAAACAAAGGCATGCATCTTTAGTGGTTTTTCAGTTATGGACAGCAGACAGCCCTCACACCTAAATGCAGTTTCCCATCCATCTAGCGAAGATGAGCAGCTAGTAGGGGAAGAGAAGGGGACAGTCTGCATGAATTACAAGCCTGTCTGTGATGCATTAAGAATTAATTCTATGCTTTGCAATATGGCTGTGGCTGCAGGGTGTCAGCTTCACTGCTGCTCCCAGTCTTTCCAGCAGCAGCCCTTTGGCCATGCCATTGCCCCAGCTGGCACTGATGGATTCATGGGAGGAAAGGTGTATAGAAGGGCCTTTGAAAGGAACTTACAGTGGTAGTTGGTGAATTTTAACTGCAGGAGGTGGTTATTTTTTAAACCAATGGTGTCCAAATAAAGCAGTGCCCTGGAAGTGCAACTGTTGTATCCCATGCTCTGTAAGCTGAAGTTTCAGGGCAACCAGAACTACCTTGGTGGTATGGCTTCTGTGGCATCTTACAGCTGTTTTGCAATTTTTTAACATAGATGCAGCTTAAGGTAAAAGCAGAGTAATGAACCCAATAAATAGGATGAAGTCACTGCAAGTGAGAAGCTGAAAGTTATCAACATTTCACAGGTGTGAAAAATGCTGTGATTTAATTTAGAGCACCTGCAGCATCCTCCTTTTCTTCCATTTCAAAGTCCATTTGAGATGGAAAGAGATCATTATCCCTATTTTATAGATAAGGAAACGAAGATGATCAGCTTGCCAAGATGCAGAGCCTAGAATGAAACCTCAAGTGAGGGCAAACGTTTGGAAGAACCTCAAACCCTCATCTCCTATTGTTAGGGGCCAATAGGTGTGAAACGCCCAGTGGAAGTTGCTTTGAGTTTCTCCTCAGTTGTGAATTTACTCAAACGGCTGTGCTCTGCGTGCCCCAAGCAAAGCCCGAGGGGAGGACAAGGCAAGGACGTTCAGGACCGTCCCCTTTCTGGAACAGCGTTCAAAGACTGAAAAAACTTCAGAGCCCTTGTATTAAAAATCATTTATTTGGTGATCTGTACATGGGATGAAGCAGGGCCTCATACAGACCTTCAAGAAAAAAAAAATCAAGTAAAAACATAAATACATATTTTCTTACAAAAAGGAGATTTACAAAATATACATACTGCACTTGTCTCACAGTTCACGTCTTTCCCCACGTGCACGTAGTAGAAGACAAAACCCCAAGCCCGGGATCAGCTGCCCTGAAGGATGTGGTCGGCGTTCCCCCAGCCTGCAGCCCGCACCTTCAACCTCAGCCCTCCGATCTCTTTGACTTCCAGACACTCTTTTCCCACTCAAAAAAAAAAAAAAAAAAAAAGAAGCAGCCATAGAGTGGAGACCTGCTGAAAATCCAGACTTTCCTATTTTGTCCTTAGACAAGAATACACACACACACACTTACAAAAAAGAACCCTTCAGTGAATATAAAGGTAAAGCAGTTCGTAACACATTAAAAATGAACGTGGCGACATTAAAAATTAATAGAAAAATCTGTCACATTTCAAAACGAAACCGATGGATTTAATGATCAATTTTTGCACGTCTTTCCAAGACGTGATCTCTGGAACGCCGAGCAGCCGTGTTGGAGCCGGAGCGAACGGCTCTCCCCGCGGCCGCGGAGGGCGGTTAGAGCGGCCCGGGGCCGCTGTGCCGCAGATCGGCGCCGAGAGCCCCCGGTGGTACGGCTGCACCCAGGGGCCAGTTCGGGGCGTTGGCTTCACCTGCGGCAGCCCCGCTGGGAAGCGGGGGAGAAAGCAGCGTTACGGGAGGGAATCGTATATCAGCGTTCCGTGCTGTATGGTCTCGTTTTGGCAGGTGCTCCCAGTTACGCTCTTCTGTCCCTCTCGGTCTCCCGCGTTTCCTTCCGCGTAGAAAAGCAGCCCGTCCCGAGCGGGTAACATTCCGCCTCCTCCACTCCTCACAAAAGGAATGTTTATTTCTGCGAGCTCCTCACATCCAAGGGTGAACCTCAGCGACTTCTTTTTGTTACTTTGCCCATAAAAACCGATCCCATGCTTACGCCTTTCTGTTCAGAAAACACTTTTGTTTCCCCCTTTGTCTCCTAGAACAAAGGCAAGGGGGGAAAAGCCTTCTGCTGAAAAGCAACAAGTCATTTCTTTTCAGAAAGGGTGTGGAAAGGCAGCCCCCTCTTTCCCCGCAGCAGCAAAAAACAACAGACCGAGGGCCGAATTTCCACTCCCTTCGAAATGCGAACACCGGGTATCATTGAGGTAAAACAGGAACGTGTAAGCGACGGAGCGGAGGCGGCTGAGCACCGCGCTGCCCGCGGGGTACTCACGTGCTCGCCCCGAGCTGCATGAGAGCCCGGGGGCCGCCTGACCCCAGCGGCTCGGAGTCGGGCGGCCCGCGGGCGGGGCGGCGCTGCGCCTTCTCCCCGCCCGGGGTGGCCTCGGCCGCGTTGGTTTCCTTCCTGCACAGGGAAAAGAGAGGGGGCTGTCTGGAAAGCGAAGGGCTCTCCCGCCCCGGCAGAGGCCTCTTTCTGTGCTTTTCCTCTCAGCCGGGCGTAAGCACCATTGGACACAGTGCACGTAGTCCTTTATGTAGTGATCATTTTTTAACCCCGCTGTGAGAAAGCCAAAGTTTTGAAAAGCCTCCCCCCTTCCTCCGTCTTCAGGGAGCCGCTGTTGCCTCCCTTCTGCCGAGTACCCTCTCTTCTGCGTGTGCCAGGGCGGCTGGAGGTCTCATACCGCCGTCTCACCCTTGCTGCCGGTACTCAGTCTGTGGTAGAAGCGCCGCCAGGACTGTAGGGTTTTACCAGACCAGATCCAGAAGCCCGTTGTGATGCCAACGATCATGGTCATGAGGTACTTGATCATGAAGACTGTGAAGTCCGGGCTCATGGGGGCGAAGTGGCTAGGGCAGGGCACAGCATAGGTTTTGCACGTCTGGAGGAGCCACGTCTTCTCCCAGGTGCTACGGAAGGCCTGCTCATAGAAGTAGCATGCCAGGACAATGGTGGCAGGGACTGTGTAGAGGACGCTGAAGACCCCAATGCGCACCATCAGCTTTTCCAGCTTCTCCGTCTTGGTGCCATCATGTTTCATAATGGTGCGGATGCGAAACAATGACACAAAGCCGGCCAGCAGGAAGGAGGTGCCAATGAAGAGGTACACAAAGAGCGGTGCCAGCACGAAGCCCCGCAGTGAGTCCACGCTGTAGATGCCCACATAGCACACCCCGCTGAGCACATCGCCGTCCACCTGCCCCATGGCTAGGATGGTGATGGTTTTGACAGCGGGCACGGCCCAGGCAGCCAGGTGGAAGTACTGGGAGTTGGCCTCGATGGCCTCGTGGCCCCACTTCATGCCAGCTGCCAGGAACCATGTGAGGGACAGTATGACCCACCAGATGGAGCTGGCCATGCCGAAGAAGTAGAGGATCATGAAGAGGATGGTGCAGCCTTCTTTCTTGGTGCCTTGGGCCACGGTACGGTAGCCATCCTCAGAGAAGCGCTCCAGGCATACTACCCGCTCCTCCAGCAGGAATCCTGCCGCGTAAGCCACCGCCACCATGAAGTAGCAGCCCGAGAGGAAGATGATGGGTCGCTCCGGGTAGCTGAAGCGGCGCATGTCCACCAGGTAGGTAAGCACAGTAAAGAGGGTGGATGCACAGCAGAGCACAGACCACACGCCCACCCAGAGCCGGGCAAAACGTACCTCCGCCTCCTTGAAGTACATGAGCCCGTTGGGCCGGCCCGGCTCACAGGGGGCTCCACAGTCCCGCTCCCCCAGGAAGCGGTATCCCAAGTAGGGGGGCACCTTGAGCTGCCGAGGGCAAGAAAAGGAGAAGCCGGCGGCGGGCTGCGGCGGGGTGAGGTCCGGTAGGTAGCCGGCAGTGGGCTGCGCCGTGGCTCCCCGACCTCCCGCGCCACCGGGCCCTGGCGGGGCATCCGACGTGTTCTGCCCCACGCAGATCTCGCCCGCGCCGTGCACGGGAAAGTTCTCGCAGCGGAGCCGCTCCGGCCACTGGAAGCCAAACTTGTTCATGAGCGCCTCGCAACCCTGCCGAGCCCGCTCACACAGGGAGCGGCAGGGTGGGATGGCCTGCTCCAGTACGGTGCAAACCGGGGCATACATGGAGCAGAGGAAGAACTTGAGCTCGGCTGAGCACTGCACCTTGACCAGCGGGTAGAACTGGTGCACCTCCAGACCGGCGTCCTCCTGGTTGGTGTGGCCCAGCAGGTTGGGCAGGATGGTCTGGTTGTAGGCGATATCCGTGCAGAGCGGGATGGAGATGGGCTGGCAGAAGCCGTGGTCCGGCACGGAGATGGCCTTATCGTCCTGATGCGCCGCCGCGCACGGGGTGCCCAGCAGGGCGGCCAGCAGGGCGGCCAGGCCCAGCCAGCGGAGCCCGGCGTCCGCTCCTCCTGCCGCGGGCCGCATCGCCGGGGCCCGGGGAACCGCGGGGCGAGAGTCAGAACCGGGCGGCGCCGAGCCCCAGGGGCGCGGGCGCCCGGCGGGCGGCGGTGGGGCCCCTTCCGCGGGGCGGGGGTGCGGCGGCGGCTCCGCGGCGTTCCTCTTCGGCCGCGGCGTGTCGGCGCTCCTCGGCGTTAAGTTTCCTAAGTCGGTAGCGCTGGAGGTGGCGGACGGGCAGAAACGCCGGCGACGGCTCTCGGTAGCTCCGCGCAGGGTCCCGCGGCGAGGCGCTTGGCGCTGCTCCCCGCCTGGCTGCCGAGCCCCGACGCCGAGGATTTAGGTTACGGCTAAACGGATTATTACAGCGCCCGGCTGAGCCGTGTATTTTACTCGCGGGCTTAAATAACTTTTAAAATCCAATTATTGCGCGATCCTCCCCGCGGGTCCGCTCCCGACGGGCGCCGCCGCCTCGCCTCCCGGCCAGCTCCACTCCGCCCGCGGCCGTGCACGACCGCACGCCCCGCAACTCCCGGCCCGCGGCCGAGCCGGGCACAAAAAAAGACACATATACGCGCGGGCGCGCCTCTGGCCCCGCCCCCGCCGCCGGCCCCATTCACAAACCGCGGCGGGGGCGGGGCTTCACGGCGCCCGCCCGCCAATCCCGTGCCGCGCCGGGGGCGGGGCCGAGGCGGCCCGAGAAGTTGCGCTCAACTTTTTCCCATCCCCGGCAGGGCAGGGCGGGACGGACCGGGGGCGGGAGGAGCTGCCCCGGGGCCCCGCGCCCCCGCTGCGAGGCACGACCGGGCGGGGGGCAGCGAGCGCGCTCAGGGTGGCCCGAGCGAACCGAAATTAACTGGCTGCTTTCTGAGCGGGCTTTGAAAATGCAAACAGCTGTCCGTACCCGGAGTTTTTTAATAAATAATAAAAAAAGCTCCGCCCGGGTACATTTGCAGAATGAGCTAATGGCGTTATGGGATGTCCGTGTCTGCGAGCCATCGCCTCCCCCAGCGGGGGGGCTGATTTGTTATCGCAGCATGACCGTTGCGTTTTGCTGGCAGAATGAGCGCTTTATTCACGCGGATGTAAGCAGGGAAGGCAGCTTGTTTTGAAATGTCCACCGCTACCAATTCTGAGGAGAAAAACGTTAAATCGCCGTGTGCGCGGCTGCAACCCTTAAAGAGGCCCAAATGGTGTGTAACAAAGCAGCAGCTCCTCCGTGGAAGCGCCCTGCCCGTCAGCGAGAGACAAAACGCCGTAGGTCAGGGGAGGGACGCTGCTGGCCGGCGGGTGATGCGAGGCGGGCCCAGGGCCAGGACGGCGTGCGTTCGCCGAGGACAGAAGTATGGCTTTGCTGCACAGCTGTGTTCCAGGACGTGCAGATGCACCGCGGGCTGCTGGAACCTTCGTGCTTCTGGGGCCAGGAGTGCCGGAGCGGCGCAGAGGGCGTGCAGAGCGACCGCGTTTCCCTTCATGCTCTGGCCTAGGGGCCAAGTACTATCCAACCCACTCGTCCCTCCCTTTGAGGACAGGAACTATACCATTCAAATTGCTGCTTCTGCTCTTGTACTCTCCGTTGTGCTCATATTGTGCCTAAGCAAATACACCAATCTGTGCAGTTCAAGAGATCAGAGTGTGGCTCAGGGAGCTCAAACAGCAATTGTTGGACAAATGTTTCCCATATCCTCTCCTGCTCGTGAACAATGTGTCCTCATACCAACAAGACCATAGAGCTTCAGCTTTTGTTATATTTGTTAAGAGAAATTGACAGTTATAAATGGGCTTACTAAAATAAATGTACTCCTCTAAAAGTGGACATGTTTTTAAAGCGACTCTTCTGCTCCCTGAGCTGCATGCCAGGCAGGATGAGCTACTTGTGCTCACAGCAGTTGCTTCTAGACAAGAAGCCTTTTCTTCATTCTCAGAGCTGTTGGAGGGCCCTAAGAAGAACTTCAGCGTGTCAGTGTGGTGAGGCTACTTGTCTGAAGGGCATACTTCTGTGCACCTAGTCACTCACCTTCAATGGAAAAGTTCTCCATGGAGAAGTTTGCCATTAACTTATTTATTTTACTGTTGGTTTGTGTGTGTGTGTGTGTGTGTGTGTGTTTGTGGTTGGTTTTTGCGTGTATGTGTGTGTGTCCAGCTGTTGGTAACCTTCAGAAAGATTTTTTCATTTTTTTTCCCCATCCCAACTTTTTGTGACACTCCATGAGCTGTGGAGCCATCAATCTTTACTAATCACCTTAGATTTCACTCTGGCTTGTATGTCTGACTTCATCTGTGAGGTATTTTGTGACATTCACTATGAAGAATGTCAGAGGAAAGGAGATGTTTCAGTGCAGGCAATGACAATGCAGAGGGAGGAAAGGAACTGCAAACTTTCTGCCCCATGCATTGACTGATCTGATTTTTGTATGTAAGGAGACATTTGGAGCTAGTAAAATGATATTGCAGGAAACTTTTTCAGCAGTGTGGAGAGAGTGACAGAAACTATTCCCAGTAAGGAATGTCAAATCACATGGCGAGACCTGAACTGGGTATTTATTTACAAGACAGGGCAGATGGCATCAGTGCTTCCCCCTGTTTTTTGCTGGTCCCATTCATTAAAGTCATTCTTGTGAGCCCTGGTCTGAAAGAAAGGATGGCCAGGAACTATAAAAGCTCAATTACGTTTGTGTTGAATGTAACATAGAATCAGTGAAGCAAAAGGTGAAAAAAGAAGTAGGCAGAAGGGAAGAAGGAAAACTGTATTCCCTGTTACTTCACAGTGAAATAAGAAAAGAGTAAACTTATTATGTGGGCTGACACTGCTAGGACATTTCAGATGGCAGGAACATGCAACAGCATTTACTAAGATGGAAGAAGAAAATTTCTTGGACACATTATCAAATTCCAGTGTTTTTCTTTTTCTTTTTTTTTTTCTTAATTAGACCATTTGGAGATGGGAGCAGTCACTGACACAGGGAGTGGTGGTCTCAGAATGGCAGACTGTGGCCTAGGAAAATCCCAGGCTACTACATTACTCTGAGACATCCTCACAGCTTTCAGGGAACAAGAAAAATTGATAACAGAAAAGCAGCAGCAAAAACCAGGGTTCTGTAAGTTACTCCAAAACATCAGAGCCTCTCTAAGTAGCATCAGCCCTGTTTCGAGTGGCAGCAAACTTGTGCTCATCTCCTGCTTTTACCGCAATCTAAATTCACAAGTTTTAGCCTGCAAAGTCACTTAAACTTCCTCGGACAGCAGGGATTCTCATCAGCACTAAGCACATGCAGTTGCTGCTGCTCAGATCCTCAGCCCCTCAGAGCAACTGCGCTGCTCAGGGCTTCGCTGCTCCTGGGAAGGTATTGTAACTGTACAAGAGTTTAAAAGGTGTCCTCTGAAAATCTCCCAGCCACTGCTCTTCTGAATATCCGACATTGCCTCATGGCAGTAAAGGAGGAGCAAAGTCCCAGTAAATCCATGAGACCAGGGTTTGGTACCAGCTCTGGAGCACCGGACTTTGCACATAGCGAGGAGCTCTTGGGAACAGAGAATTCTCTGCCTTCATACACATTTAAAAATAGATCCAATTCAACTCCCAAGCTAAGTCAGAGGCACAGAAATCCCTACATGATGTCTTTTCCTGCTGTTTTAAAGCCTCCTTAAACGTTGCCAATATAATTTTCCTTCCCATCTGATAGAAAACTCTTCCCATGGGGGGAAGGAAACCAAAACAAATCCCCCTCCCCACTCTGCCAGGCAGCAGTTATTTCGGGTGCCTGAGGGTGAGCATTTTCAGATTATCTGCCGTGAGGTTTCCAGACCTTGTTACCCTCAGAAGAATAAAGGACAGCGTTACCACTTCTCCTTCATCGCTGCTGAAACTCTGCTGATGCAGGCATGGTGTCCTGCCACCATCCCAGCTGCAACTGGCTGAAGTGTGGGGCTTCTTCTTGCACTTAAGCTAACTGAAGGACTTCCAGGACAATTTTCATCTCAGCATTTTGAAGCACACTCACAAATATTTGTACATGATCGGGCAGGCTATTGAGCTACGAACATTAAAATTTGCCCTCCCTAAAACTTAGTGGGGAGATGCCAGGAGCCTGGGGGGGAAGTGATGCATGCAAATTCTACATAACAATCTGCATAATTAGAAATAAGTTCACAGCGCTATATCTGCTTGCATTTCTATCAGTCTGACAGACAACTCTAAATTACACATTGTTTGAGTCTGTTTTTTCTATAGTGAGACAGGAGAGCTTGGTTCTTCACAGGCAGGGAGTGGGGAAAGGCAGGCCCTGCCCCCCAACACAGAGCCTGAATTTGAAATTAGATTGAAGGCATCAGAAACTGATTGAAAAGAGAGGATGGGGAGTGCACAGGTGACAAAAGGAAGGGGATACCGCTGGAGGGGATGTGGTTTCCTCAGTGAGAGAGGCAAATGCCAGTTGCATCATGGATTTGTAGGATAATTACTAGCTTATGAAGTAATATACCAAAGGATACAGTGGGAGCTCCACTGCCTTCTACATTTACGATCAAATTGGAGAAAACATTAGGAAACATTCACAAAGATGGGCTATCTGGTGATGGCTTTCATCTTTGACATCCCTGAATAAGAAAACAAAACCTGAAGTTGATCAGCTCATCCCCACTCAGCACTTCACTGAGGACATCAGTTACATTTTAACCCCTGCGTGACACTTTGAATTCCCTTGTTTCCCTGAAGTGAATTTAATCTGCTCTCACACAATTTTGGGGTTGCAGAGGCCCTTTGGTATAAAGTGTAGACAGCCCTTCTTTATTTTACTTTCCCAAGCAAGGTGATTTTTAACAAGGCAAATTCTTTTCAGAAGCAGCGGTATCAGCCAGGCCCTGCCATCACTCTGTCTGTGTGCAGTGATACCACAGTATGAAGAGGAGAAGCTTCTAGGGATGGTGGGGAAAACAAAAAGAGTCATAGAATTGTTAAGGTTGGAGGAGACCACTAAGATCATCTAGTCCAACTGCTGGCCCATCACTACCATGCCCTGACCCAGATAGGCAGCATATAATTTAGTGAGATACAGCCAACTTTCTCAAGTT